TGCCTCTCGCGGAAGAAAAAAAAGCAGAAAACGCGTTTTTGTCCTTTTTCAAGAGGCACGGCCGTGACTCTCGCAAAAGCAAAACCGTGCCTCTTGCGGAAGCAAAACCGTGACTCTGGCAGAAGAAAAAAACACATTTTTTCGATCCAAAAGCTAAGGAAGACCCAAACGTAAAAAAAACCCGAAAAAACCATTTAAAAAGCAGAAAATGCGTGCGAAAATGAAAATTCGGAGGGAGCGCCCACAGCACGACACGTGGCGGGCGGCTGAGAGTGCGCCAAGTGACGCTGATCGTCGTGAGGCTCCCGAAGAAGCACTCGTCAACTAGTTGCTCCCTGGTTCCTCCCGCGCCCCGCGCCCGCCAAGCCCATTTGCCCCTTCTAAGATGTGGCCCAAGCTCCGCCACTGTTCATTGGTAGCACCTCTTACCAGTCAAAATCACTAATTGAAGAGTACTCCTTCCAAAGATCACTCACACCTCCCTGTTATGAAAAGTGGCGCAACGCACCACTTGTCGCAATCTGGTAGTTTTTTCCCTTTTTTCGTAGATATGTTTATTCAAAATGTATTATCTCTTAAACCGTGCATCCAAATCTTTCACCGTTCAATTCTTTACGTTGAGATCTTCAAAATTAAATCCCATGTGGATAGGTTTTCACGGTTTTATTTTTATGAGAAAAACCGGACGATAAAACCGAACCGGAAGCATGTTTTTCCCCCTTTCCGTAAGCCATTTTCGAGAGGCACGCTCACTGAAGAAAAAAATGTAAACACATTTTTTCGTTTTTGAGAGGCGCGGTCGTGTCTCTCGCGGAACAAAAAATATTCCTCCCACGAAAGGGAAGAAAGGAGAAAGTGCGTATTTTTTCTTTTCCGAGAGGCACGGCCGTGTCTTGCACGGAAGCAAAACTGTGCCTCTCGCGAAAGCAAAATCGTGCCTTTCGTGAAAGAGAAAAGGAGAGGAGAAAACGCGTTTTTTCTTTTGTTTTCGAGAGGCAAGCTCTCACGGAAGCAAAACCGTGCCTCTCACGGAAGAAAAAAGAAGTGAAATCGCGTTGCCTCTCGCGGAAGCAAAACCATGCCTCTCATGGAAGCAATACCGCGCCTCTTAAAGAAGCAAAAAAGAAAAGAAAACGCGTTTTATCTGCACAATTTTTTTTGTCGAAAAGCTAAGAAAGACCGTTGAAAAATCGAAAAATTAGAAAAAACCGGAAAACCCCATCTAAAAAGTCGAAAATGTGTGCGAAAAGAAAACTCCGGAGAGAGTGCGCAGAACGCGACACGTGGCAGCGGTTAAGAGCGCGCAAGTCAGCCCACGCAAATGATCGTTATGAGGCTCCCGAAGAAGCGTTCGTCAACTAGTTGCTTTCCTTACCAGTGATGAGTGAACGCTGTTACAGCACCTGTGTAGCGAGTCGGGCTCCAAGTGTGCGTCGCAAGCCTATTTGACGCAAAAGCACGTCAAATAGGAGGTCTCCATGGATACAAAAATAAACATGCAGCTTCTTAACTGGGGCACAATGAAGCTAGCAACCAATAGTTGAGGAATACACAATCCGCAATCCAGAAGTAAGAAAAAACAAAGGGTCCATGAATAGGCGTACATAAACGAGGCCCCTAACTAGAGCAAGGTGTTTTTTTTTTCTCCAGAAAAAACTGAGATCTCCTAATTGGTGCCAATTAGGATAATTGGCGCTCATGCACCGTTAACTAGTGAGTCTGCAATCGTTGACCACGAGAGTTGGCTGTTGCATTTTTCAAAAGAGAAAAAATCACAAAAATGAAAACAATCTTTTGAATTAACTCTGCGATTTGGAAGACGGAGGAAATGAAAGTAGAAAATTTGAAATAAAATCAAACAAATTTGAAAAGTTCATGAATTTTTGTAAAATGCTCATGGCATTTGGGATTTTTTTTTGAGAAAAGTTCAAGACTTAGAAAAATTTCAAAGTGAATAAATCGCAAATTTGAAAAATAAATTCACAAAAAAATATATTTCTTAATTGAAAAACTTCAGGAAATTTGGGGGGGAAATAAGAATTTGAGAAAAGTTTACGGATTTGAGAATAAAATGTTCACAAAAAAATAAAAAATCTAAATTTGAAAAAGTTTCGGAATTTGATAATTGCAAAAAGAAAAAGGAAAGAAAAGAAAGAGAAAACGGTGAAAAAACCCTAGGCGGGCCAGCATGACTTTGCACCCGCCACTGGTAAGTGACCAGATTACCAATGGCGGAGACAAATGCCTTCGCCCCACTGGTGAGGTACCACATATAAACAGTTCCTCGGTGGTGTTAGTCTTTTTGTTGTATTGCCCACATATCAATCCAAGAAAAAAAAATACTATTATCGCCATCCTAAATTATTTGTCTTAGATTTGTCTAGATACGGATATATGGACAAGTAATTTGGGACATAGAGAGTACAATAATATGAGGGTATGTCCATCCAAGACGGAGACTACATAAGCCGTCTTCTGATCTTACACTTTTGTTTATTGTAATTAGTAGAGATTTATTTCTCCTTATAGAATAAAACCTCTGCGGGCTCTTCACAAAGTCATAAATTTACAAGGTACACCAGTTTTTGTCTATTAGAAATACGAAAAGTGCAATTGTAACCACTCCGAAAAAGGGTTCCCCGCTTTGTATTTCAAAGCAACCAACCGATATATCCAAGGATAGATGCTGGGGCGGAAGCATCACAATCACACCCAAAAGAAACAAAAAAGAAACAACAAGAGAAAAGAATGCCGACAACGGCGGATCGACGGAAACGAAGAAGCTTCACGACCATTGCGCCCACCGAAGATCTCCCACCAAGCTCCAAGGCTCCGAAACACCGGTACCAATCAGCACCTCCAAGAAGGACTACGACGATGATGACGCTGCTGCCAAGGGTTTTCCCCGGTACACGACGAGGCAAGAGGAAGGGTCGCCCCCGACGCCCTCCAGGAAGGTCCGACGGCACCCACCGGCGTCGCCGCGTCGGTGTCGGACAGGCCGACAGGGGTTTCCCCTGATCCCAACCTTCACCTCGGGTGCTCCAGAGCCTGCCACCAAACCGATCACCATCTTGCGCCACCATGGTCAAGAAGCCTCCACGCCGTCTCACCACGGGACCACGAAGTGAGGTCTGCACAACAAGGGATAGGAGCTGGGACTAGGGGCCGCAGCACCGTCGGCACGTGGGAGGGCACAACCTTCACCGTCAACAACGGTAGCCGACCGGACACAATAGCAGGAGCATACCAGGCCCGTGGGCCCATAGGCCCAGCCGGGAACTCCATGCCTGTAAAGCTCTTGCCATCGCGCTGTAGCAGGCACGCCGTCGGCATCGCCGCCCCCCGTCCGAGCTGCTCCTCCTCCTCACCACGCAGACGACGACGAAGCCACGCCGGGGACCGGCCCGCTAGGACCCAGATGGGGCCGGGAGGGCCCAGATCTGGGTCGGGGACGCGCCGCCGGCCACCGCACGCCACCACGCGGCCCTGCTGCCAAGGGCAGCACCGCCACCGCGCCTACCGCCGCCGGGTCGCCGGGCCGCCGCCCAGCCGAGCATCACCGCCGCCGTCACCAGCCACGGGAAGGAGACGAATGCGCGGGTACAGAAGGGCCCGCCGCCGCCGGGGCACCCGCCGGCGGCGGCGGGGGAGATCTCATGGGGGTGGGGGCCGAGGGAAGGGGAGGGGCGCGCCGCCCCGGCCACCTCCCGAGGAGGCGGCGCAGGGGCGGGAACGGGAGGGGGAGGGGGGAGAGGGGGGCGACCGGGGTTGCACTCGCAAAGTACATCATAAATCATCCAAAAAGAAATCCATGTGTCCACTCAAAAGGGACATGGACCTTTTTCAACTCTAACCAGATACAAGTACATAGTATTATACCAAAATTAAGCAAATAAATCTCTCACAGGAAAATATTAATTAGCTCATAGCAAGTGGCGACTCCATTTTCATGCCGTAGCAAACTAGCAATTGTCTTGGCATATGACTCACTGCTCTTGTGTGTAAGGTGGGAGCATCCCATTCAGGAAGGAGCTCAACATCACCAATGCCCTCTCTGGCTGGAAGGATGGAACCAGATGGCCAGCTCCTCTCACAGATAGGAACGTGAATCCCCCGGCGTATTGCTGGACATAGCCTCCCACCTGCGAGTGCAACCAGCGAAGCCATGAGTTTCAGGGTGACCAGCCATGCATTCAGATGAGTAGTGTTTTTTATTATGGGATTTACCTCCTCCTTTGCTGTCCATGGACGCCATGGAGTGGTCACAGGGAGGCCAAGGTCTTGGATGGAGTACCTCGTCGCCGGTAGCGAGCACACGGAATCAAAATCACCACTGTAGAATGTAGGGAAGTTCATTGGGTGGTGAATTTTGAAAGGTATATAGATGAATAACGCAAAAGGTAAAATGTACTTTTACAGCGGTCGTGATCTGTTACCTGAAAATCCAAACCGGAAGCTTGCTTTCGATCAGCCATTTCACGGTTGGCAGCATGGACATTGGCGCATCTTTCCAGTGCAGGTTTCTGCATGCGCAAAATCACATGAGTTCCGTACGTGTTGGGTGAAAATGGCAAGTGTACATATTAGCTGCAAGTTGAAGGATCTCACTTGCAGGATGACCACTTCGTCGTTCTAGCGTGGAAAGCGCTCTGCACCGCCGGATCATTGAGATACGCCCAGGTAGGGTAAACACTGCACGGATCATACCCAGGCAGCTGCATGCATGCATGTCGTTTTAGCTAGCCATTCAGAACATTGTCATCATGTCATGCCCGGAAAAGTAATTGAAAATGAATTGTCGCCTTACGTAGCCGCTGGGGTAACGTGCTCCGTTGGGCGCGTGGATGCAAACCGGAGCGTATATGTCGTAGTAGTCGATCTGACCTCCGTCGAACGCGTCCCAGGCGCCACTGCACGCCGTGCCGGCGACATTCCCGTCCCACTTTCCGAAGTCGCAGTTCTTGGTGACATTGGCGTACACCTCGTCGGATATCACCTCATGGGTCCAGACGAAGTCGATGGCCCCCTGGATGTTCCTCTTCTCGTCCAGATACGGGTTCCCGACCTTCAATCAAGAGAAAGAAGGGTGGCAAGTGATGCTAAAACTGATTGGGGAGGGCCAAATGTGTGTAACTGTAAATTTCACGTACCATTGCCTTGTAGGTTTACTATGGTTCTGTTGTTGTATGTGTTGTGGAGCAGGATGGTGGCGGCGAGCTCTGGCACATAGTGGCCGGCGAAGCTCTCGCCAGAGATGTAAAAGGCGCGGTCCTTGTACTCCGGGAACCTCTCCAGCCATTTCACCAGGAAGACGTACGCGTCGTCGGCGGTTCTCTCGTCTCCGCTTAGGTCATAGTCCGAAGACGTGTTCGAGTAGGAGAACCCGACGCCAGCGGGCGACTCGAGGAAGATCACGTTAGCCACTGCCATTATTTTTCACAAGCAAAATAAGTTCAGGTCTGTAATTAAGCAGGTCCAAGTGGGGAGGGATTAGAGTTGCCATGGGTACTTACCGTTGTTCCAGGCGTTGATGTTTCTGCTGAGCGTTTTGTTGTCTTCGGCTACGCGGAAGGGGCCGAGCTCCTGCATCGCTCCAAAGCCGAGGGAAGAGCATCCTGGCCCTGTGGATGCGTACATATATCTAGCGTGATCAACCAACAGTATCTATAAATTAACGTGCACCTTACAGCTATGCAGTTGCCAATTAATGCCATGCTCTAACCTCCGTTGAGACACAGGACGAGCGGCTTCTCGGAAGCACCGGAGGGCGATTCGACGAGGTAGTAGAAGAGCGCGCGGCCGTTCTCCTCGTCGACGGTCACGTACCCGCCGTACTGGTCGAAGTCGACGCCCTCCGGCTGCCCGGGCAGCGCCGTGATCTTGTCGGCGGCCTTCATGGAGCTCTGGTCGGAGACAGAGCTCCCTGCGCTCAGGCTGCCGGCAACCCTGTCCGCTATGTTACGCACCCTAAACGTGTCGGTGCTGCTAACACTGCCTCTTCTGGACGAGGTGAACTCTCTCAGCCGCGCCTCCTGCGAGGCACTGGCGTGCAGTGGCAGTGCCGCCACAGAAACGAGGAGCAAGAAGTACAATGAGAGGCTCTTCATCTCTGATGAGAATGATGAGATGGTCGTCTCTAAGATGAGAAATGCCACAGTCGGCATGCATGGTTTATATAGGCGTCGTAGCAGGTAGGAGAAACATGGCAGCTTCGTTTGCATTGCAACAAGGAGCTTTGGATTCATCCCTGTGTTTGTTTCGGGTAAGAACAGTGCAACAAGGCTTGCAGGATTGCAACAAGGTTTGGATTCATCCTTATGTTCTTGTTAATTTCCGCTCAGACAACAATGCGAGGAGGGTCGTCGGCTCGTCGCTGCTTCTTTGCGCCGATGATTTGATTCGTCAAAGCTGTTAGAAGTAATCTTGAGTTAGAGTTGTAATAGGATTACTTGTCCGGCAGGTTGCCGTGTAATTAGATTAGGAAATACTAGTCGGAGAGTTTATGTGTGAGTTCTGGTAGCTAGGAGTCGTACTAGTAGTAGTCCGGCTAGGAGTATTAGTTTAGACGTGTACTAGTCCTTGTAGTATTAGCAGTCCTAGGTCATCTTGGCTGAGTCCGAGTCCGTTTAGGTTGAAGGGTCGGCCGCTGCTGGTGGAGTATATATATTCAGCCGGCTGTGGAGTTTTGTAACATCGTGAGAAAAAGGAGAAATAAAGAAAAAAGAACAAGGCACGACAGGTGCCTTTGGCAAAAGTTTTTTCGTCTGCGTGTTCATCGTGATTTGATGTGATCGATCCTGAGGGCTGAAGTCCAACAATTGATATCAGAGCAAGGTTCAGGAGTCGAGTGCTTGCCCCGGGGTAGCGACCCGACTAGCGCCTCGGGGCGGGCGATATAGTTGCTGGGTGGTGCGGCGACGAGGAAGGGCGGGCGATGAAGTTGCTGGGTGATGCAGCGACGCAGAGGATCAAGCAACCGTCGTTCTATGGAGCGACATGGAGGGAGACGGCAGACTGTCGTCGGGAAGACGGTGGAAAGAGATCGTTGATGGGAGAGGTGGTGCCAGTGTGTGGTGCTGGAGCTCATCAAGATCATCGTCCGGGGGAGTCGGATGAGTCAAGGAGTCGTGCGAGTTTGCACGGTCAGTTGTCGTTGCGTCTGTGAGTCGTCGTGTTGTCCAAGTGCTCGTCTTGGTGATGATTCGTTGGAGTGGATGCAGTGTGCACGGTGTTCCGTGAGTCATGTCCATGTCCTCGTGGAGCGTCCTGGTTGCGGCCAGTGTGGATTCGGTGTGATGCCGAAGGCGGACGATGGTAGGCGAAGCCATCGTAAAGCGAGGAGGTGTGCAAGCAGTGGAGAGTGCATCTATTGCAAGCAAGTACAAGGAGTATGGTGCGGACCGAGTGCAAGGCAGCGGCCAAGCAATGGCGGTGGCACAACATGACAGGGCAAGGAGGTGCGTTGCATGTTTCCAGACGAGTCATACTCAGTGTACGGATATGACGGTTGAAGATCAAGCTTGACGTGTAGTGGGACAGTGACCAGTTAAGTTGAACGACGTGAAGACTGATGATGCGTCCAGTCTTGCATGTTGCACGTGTAGATGCGACCATGTGGGCTGGTAGTCCAGATTGTACGTTGAAGTTTGGATCGACAAGTCGCGAAGCTGCAAGAGTCAAGACGAGAGGAAGCGCAAGGAGATGACATATCAAGATTAGGGGAAGATTGTTAGAAGTAATCTTGAGTTAGAGTTGTAATAGGATTACTTGTCCGGCAGCTTGCCGTGTAATTAGATTAGGAAATACTAGTCGGAGAGTTTATGCGTGAGTTCTGGTAGCTAGGAGTCGTACTAGTAGTAGTCCGGTGAGTATTAGTTTAGACGTGTACTAGTCCTTGTAGTATTAGCAGTCCTAGATCATCTTGGCTGAGTCCAAGTCGGTTTAGGTTGAAGGGTCGGCCGTTGTTGGTGGAGTATATATATTCAGCTGGCTGTGGAGTTTTGTAATATCGTGAGAAAAAGGAGAAATAAAGAAAAAAAAAGACACGTCAGGTGCCTTTGGCAAAAGTTTTTTTGTCTGTGTGTTCATCATGATTTGATGTGATCGATCTTGAAGACTGAAGTCCAACAAAAACGGCCATGATTAGTTGAGTTGACATGCAGCCAGGGTATTGAGGGCGACTTAAGCCGTTGGTTATCCTTGCAGTACTGCGGTGTGTGGGTTTTCAGCAGGTTCTTTATCCGCACCGGCCTTGTTTAGAACGATGATTTGGATGTTAATCAATGACGATTCTTGCGTGTACTATGTGCGCCAAGGTTTATATGTTTTGGTAACATGTAAGAGGAAATTTCCATTTCGAAGTGTGCTAGTGCCAAGTGGAAGTTGGTCATGCAGCAGAATACATTCAGAATTTTATGAAGTTTAGCCTCAAGCTTGGTGTGTGGTGGAAGTAAAACCATACATGAAAAAATATCTTGATACTCATTTAAAAAATTCTAAGGACCATGTTTATTTTGGTACTCATATTAAAATGACCATATGCATTCTTAATTGGTGCAGAGGCCAGGAAGTGAAAATCTCTCTCATTTTTTTGAGTGAGTCTAACTCAACTAGTTGGATGAGTGGATGTACAAACTAAACACCTAGGTTTAAATGCTCATGGAGGCGAATTTAGGTTCCTATTTATTCTCGAGGACCAGACTTTCCTGATACTCACACATTTATTAAGGACTAGACTCGGTGCGTAATCGAGATTAAAAATCCTAGTACTCATACTTAAAAGGCCGCATACATCCATAGTTGGTGCAGAGGTTAGGGAAGTGAAAGTATCCTCCAATAAAATTTTTGTGATTGCATGCATCATCCAGATATAGAGGCAGGGATGTATCCTCCTTTTCAAAAAAAAAGTTTACTCAACTAGCAGGTGTTTCATGCAATTGCACCGAAAATGCCTTTAATCGTCTTTCACATCCAATACTGCTATTCTCGTCATTCGTTTTTCTTTTCACGTGACAAACTTACACAAACACCATGGCAGTATGAAGAACATAAGAAAGCAATAGAAATTACATCGATATCCGTAGTTCGCCTAGCGACGACTACAAGCAATAGAGTAAGCCGAAGACACGCCGCCGTCACTAAATCCGGGTAAATTTTGTTGTAGTAGACAGTCAGAAAATCGTCGTGCTAAGGCCCCAAGAACCAGCACCAGAACAATAATCGTCGCCGGTGAAGAGAAGTGCAAATCGAAAGAATCCAACCTGTAGATACACGAACATGAACGAACGAAGACTGAATCCAACTTGAGGCAGGACGACCAGTAAGAAAATATATTCAAATCATACGGGCCTTCTTGTTCCTTCGATTGAAAATTACACTGAATTAACAATAAAGAAAAGACACTTGCAAAGGCCCTCGGCTTACTAGGCTTTGAAGATCGCAGTAGTCACTCGCCCTTTGAGACGAGATCTAGAAATCGCTGAAGCAGTATTGGTTGGAGTATCACCCAACATGCTCACAGTCCATCATCACTAGTTCATGCGGTTGGAGAAGCCAAAACATGTCGCAGAACAACACAGAAGGAGATGTTATATCCGCCACACCAATAGTTAGTCAATAGATCAACTTGAAAGACGCACCAACTCCCTAGATCTGAAGAGAGTCAATAGATCTCAGAACACAAAAACTCACAAGTCCTCCAAGACGCCAAATCAAACATTGCGAGAGTTGGAGAGACCAGATATACCTTATTCGAACACACCCTCACCGCGACTACCTCGTCGATGTCATGTGAGAACCAAAAAACCTAATAAGAAATAACAAAAGAAGAAGGATGGTTCCGCACTCCTCTTGCTGTCGTCGAGGCTCCCGGACAGGGAAGATGAGTGGGACCAAGGCAACGGCGTGTAGGAAAGCTTTGGCAGCGGCTAGGGTTAGGAACCTTATGCACCAC